GTTCCACATGACCTTACGCAAGCAGACATTTACGTAAATCATAAATCTCACATATCCTTGCACGTTAAATTCAACAATACACAACAGTAATGAATCTTGAAGCTACAGCTGAGATCAAGAACACTTATATAACCACTATCAGAAGGTTTGCAACACTAACCCATAAAATATTTTAACTCTTTTTCTTCCTTTTAATAAAGATGGCTTTATGAACATAGTCATAATGCTGTGCTGACTGTTTATATAGAAGACAATCACGCAGTTGTTTATTTAATACACACTGGTATAAGAAAAAACAGTGATCCATTTGCTGCTTTATAACATAACACCAACTGTCAGAGTCTATCACGTACAGTACAAATTTCTATAGCACGCAAAGCACAAATTACAATGGGGGTAAGACAATAAGAAGACTGAGCCTAGTGACAGTTTTCAGAGTGTTAAAAAACTCCTTTCTACAGAAAACTTTCCAAATTTGATGCAAATTACTTTATCTGTACAATGTCAGCATAGCTAGACTTCAAATGCCTCATTTAGCTAACCATCAAAGCTCTGTTTTTTTTTCCTTACTATTACACTGGGGTCCAATTCTCTTGCTTTACCAATCAATTTTGAGATCAGAGCAAGTTAAACATCAGTGACAGAATTAACCCACAAAATAAGAAACATTTGCGATAGAAACATTACAAAGACAATTACAAAAAGACATAAATCATCACTAAAGGCAGAGCCCATGTGAACTTTTCCATGTATACACCTAAGTCACAATTCAGAAGATTTTCTGAATTTACATCAGTGGTTAATTAAGCTTTTGTGGATTATAACTGAGCACATGAGGAATGAACTGCATGACCAACACAATCAGACACACGATCATTTCTAAGAATGGAGCTTTTCTGCTGCTCTGACTGAGCCGAAATCACACATGCCTGAGGAGGAATTCATCATGGAAGCTACAGTAAATTTATTTTAGGGTGGAAAGGTGGTGTAGTAGGTAGCACCTACCACAACTAAAGGTAGTCTACCGAGGTTGTTGGTATCTCTAAAGTAAAGGTCTCCAGCCCTGATCCAGAAGAGCTTCAATACTGCAAGTTTTATAGGTCACCACTAAATCACCAATTTTTTAAATATCTCGAATGATTTTACTGTGAACAGTTAAGTAGGTGAATTACTTAATTCAGACTTAGAAGAACTTTATTTGTCCTCAAGGAACTTCATTCAAGTAATTCAGAAATCATGTTGGACAAGAATCTGAGTACCCCTACATCTCCATGGGCCATAGCTCTCTTACATTAGCAGATCACTTGCTTAATTAATCACTAACACAAATGTGATGTCCATGTCTAGAAACAGGCGACCTATAAGACTAAGTGTACTGGGTCTCCACAGTGCTAAGTCTGGAGACCCCTAATCTAAATCGTCTCCTGTATTCATACATGTGTAGCCCTGTATTGGAATTAGCGGTAATTGAGTTTATTGATTTTTAATTTACAGGAGGAATGACACTAGACGTACCTGTACACACATCTATGGAGCAACAGGGAATCCTTTTCACAAAAATCCTTAAAATTACAACTGTTCCAGATGGTACCTACCACACATCAGAAAATGATAATTCTGGTTTAAAGACAACTGAAGATATTAAAATATTTCTAAAAGCAGCAAAATCAACTGGATGCACACACTTGTTCATTCAGAACTCTGTCCAGTTGATTGTTATTTTACTCATTTTTACTGAACCTCAATAACTTGGGAGTGTGACTTCTTTTTTTCCCCTTGACGTAATTTACCCATTTCCCCTCATGCAAGCCAGATGGGGTCAAACGTCCTCTCATTTGCAGCCATTCTTATGTTTTTGTTCTTAAATATAACAATATTGTATATCACAAGCCAGGATGTTGCCATTTCTCTTCCAATATTTCAGGTCCTCTTTGACTCAAGCTTGGTTTGGTACCCTCAATGATTTTTTGCTGTTACGCTTGATGACATTGGGTTCGTATCTGTGATATTTTTGCAGAATAAATGGCTTGTGACAGACTTTTTTTCAAGGTTGAATGTGAGTTAGTCTGTTTATGAGGTGCATCATAGATTGATGCAGTGTTTTATCAACTGGTTTTAGGACAGGATTTATAACAAACACTTACATTCTATATTGTCAGGCAGCACTGATGAGTCCTTTGGTACAAGAGCAATTTTTGTTAAAACAGATACCATAGTAACCCCACAGTATTGAAGAAAAACAAGAGAATCCCACAGATAAACACATACCATATTTACTGAAATGTTAAAATGACTGTGTAGGCCTACCTCACAACATTTTCTTATAATCTCTTGCCACATTTCAGGACTCTAGCATGTCTTGGCTTATGAAAGTTTGTTTTGAGGTAGGCCTACACAGCCAACATAGATATATGAAAAAAAACAGACATTGAGGACATAATAGCAGTCAAGGACACTGCAAAGCAACACAGGTTTTTAAAAACTACCTTACTGCAAGGACTGCAAAAACCTCTTCTGAAATCAAAGCCAAACCAACACACCTACTTTACTCACACACATAGATTGGATAAATAGCACATAATTAAGTAGACATAAATTCTTATATAATCTTACAACTTCTCATCCCTAAGCATCCTACAGACAGGAAAGGATCCCCTTCATCCACCTATGAGATATGGCTACCACTTGGGTGACACACGGCAGCCATTAAGCTCCAGCTACCTCACTCCACAGCAGCCCAGAGTGATGAGTAGATTCCACAGTTTAATTAAAGGGAGAACTTTAAGAAGGCCAAACTGTATATTCATATAAGAGGGGGACTTATCCAGCACACTGGGGTCTACACCTCTTCCTTCCAACTGTTCCACTGGAACCTTACTGACCAAGCACTCAGAACCTTAGTATAATGTCTCATCCAAAGGGCTGCACCATGTAGAGCACAGTGCCTTGGTCACCACACTGGGGCACCGGTTGGGTCCAGATAGAAAGGCGCCTCCTACTGGTCCACCAACACCACACCACCAACACCAGCCAATCGTGTTTTCCTTGGTGGTCTCCCATCCCAGGACTCACTGGGGACAGCCTTCCTTAGTTTCTGAAATCGGAAGGGATCCAGCTACAAAGCAGCAAAGGAGAACTCTATACTAAAAGAATCCTGGCACTCAATTCAATAAAAAGAAAGAAATTATTTTGATTACAACGCTGAGGCCTCAATCATAATAATATCTTCCCAGGCACAGAGCGAGGTTATAAAGCAGAGAAGGCTTTTCTTATGTTTCACTAAATGTCATTTCCTTCTAAGACAAAAAGATATTGGATTGCCTTGTGCCGCCTGTGCTTCCTTGAGTCACTGTACGGGCTTGAAATGAAAGTGACATTTTTTAACGCTAGTTTTTCACTGCAACCTTTTTAAAGAGACGTTTACAGTTGTGGAGACTTCACATTAAAATGAGTCCGCATTCCAACTCTGGTGTAAAAAAAATACATCGGGGATTATCGGGTTTTGCTGCCAAAAGGGGGGGGGGGCGGGTTTGGGGGTAGAGGAAAAATCTCGCAGCCCCTAAAAAGCGGTGGTACTACAATATGAAATTTGATCGCGCCGTTCTTGAACTGAAACGACTAAAGCTCCCCGCTGAGGAGTACTGTTGTTTCAGATGTACACCGACACGCCCAGCACTTTTAACAACTGAATCAACTCGATATTCCAAAACACGGATTGCTATTGTTTCCCATTGCTTAGGCTGGTGACGTTCAAAACAGTCTTTAATATTCTTTGTCTTCCCCCCCCCTCTAGCGCTAAGCAATATCTAAACAGTTAGCAGAAGGTTTCATGTTCAGGGTGGCGGTGTGTATTGGAGGAGAGAGGGGGGCAGTTGTTAACTTTAGAGTTTAACTATTCAGTAAAAAAAAAGGCATCGCGGGCGCATCTTGGTTTGCCTTTATGTTAGAATGGATTGGATTAAATCCAAGATCAAGCAAGATAATTACTACCCCCCCCCCCCGTTGGAGTCCGCCGTTTGCATAAAAAGAAATTAAGCCTAGTGAGAGCAGACCGGCCACAACCTGGATATACATTGCGCGTCGACACAGTTGTTACAATAAAGAAGACAAATAACTCCACAATGCTCAAGTGAGCTGCAGGGGGAAATTACAGTAAAATAATAGGCAACAAGAGCAAAACGTGAACTCCCCCCCGCCGCCTTCTCTCCAATTTAGCATTCCTGAGATTCCTGCACAGCACACCTGCCTGTTCATTCAATTCTGTAACACTGCCATCACTGCACTCCTAGATACGCCAGTGAAGCATATGTTACAATGAAACCAATCGTTTTCCAGAAGACACGCACAGCGGCAAGGAAAGAAAAACCACTACAATCGTTGAAAGTTGCAATGCAAAGAGAAACACAAGCAGCTGAATTCCTCCACATCATAAGACGGCATTATGAAGGTTTTACAGAGGTGGCTAAATAGAAGTCATAAGAAAAAGATTACTGTAATGTCTTACACAGGCGTTTCATTGCGCTGGCTTCACTTTCTCAGCTGCCGCCAGAAAGCAATGCAAGTAATAAAAAGAAGACAAATTGGAAAACTAATTATCTGCTTTTTTTACAAGAACGAAACATGATTTCAGTTGGGAACTACCGGGATACTACCAGCGTCTGTACGCACGGAGCATGTATCCATCTGAATTATTTCCGAGCACTTACCCTCGGGAGCAGAGAAATTATCGCAATCCGTGCGTTTTGATGAAGCGTGCCATCGAAAACCAGAAACGTGCGAATACCGCAAAGACCATTAACACAGGAAAAAAAATTCCTGACCTGCCACACACATACAGCTAGCTCGTCTCCATGGTTCGGGGCGAGATCTTCTCTCTCCTGCTTCTACTCAGGAGTACGAGGAAGCATGACGTCAGCGCCACTGTAGTTTTCCAGCGTCCGACTCCATTGGGTCTAGGCCAAAAAGGTGGGAATTTCATTGGAGAACTCTATTGTTAAACGGACCAATTAGAAGGGAAAGCTGGGTTACCTTGGTTACAAATGTTGTCAACCTACTGGAGTCCCATATATGAAGTAGGAAGACATAAGGTAATTAACTGGCGTCATGGTTAACACTGTATTTTGTAGCTACGTAACGTAGTCCATATGTGAAGTTTCGGTCTCCTATACTTATTAATAACTTATGCGCATACTGTATGTCTGTACTTTAAGAATTGAATATTTTTTCGCCTCTATATTGTATCTATATAGTACGTTTAAACAAGCGTGCAAACGGCGTTTGGAATATTCTCAATAGGTGTATTTCATTTCCTTCTTAGGATGAACATCGCTGCTGAAGTTATTTTTAATTTATTTGCGGGGGAAAAGAATTAGGAAATACTGAAGCATCTTTGTTTCACCTGAAGATGCAATTAATACCTTCAGATTTTAGGATGATCATTTGGGAAATTAATCCAATCTCCAATCCATACCGCCCCAAGATCGTGCGCTGTAAACCCAGGGTAAAACTAATGACAGCGATGCATGAAACTTTTTGGATGTTTTGTCGATGGTATTTCTTCCTTTTATGGAGTGGCACATTTTCTGCGGGCCAGACAGAGTGGTTAAATATGAATACCCCCCCCCCAACAGTGCGGTATCGTATGAGGTCCAAACAAGCTGTAGCATGCTTCATTGGTTACCAACCATTACTTTAAAAATGTGTTTTCGTTTTCGAACGCGTCCTTGTAAGTAATCCTTCTGGTACAACCCCTATGTTTTATTTTTTATTTATATTTATTCAAAACGAAACGAAAGCGATTCCACAATCAGTAATGGAGCAAAAGTGTATCTCCTCCCGTTCCTCTACATTAAAATTGATGTTAAAATATTCATTTATGAATTATTCATATTGTTGTAGGCTTCCTGATACAAGTACCTTGAATGATTGAGTGTCCAACTTAATCTCGTTCTTGATAAACAGTAAATAAAATACTGTTAACCATTTAAATTTAACGGAGGCTGTTTTCAAGGTGGCTGAAGCTTTTACTGTTACTTCTTCTTCACTTTTTCTTTGGCAAACGATGAACTGAAAGCCACCTGAAAATGATTAGCGTTTCTTTCAAGGGAATTAGATCTTAAAATTTTAAACGTGTAAGAAGGGTTTTAAATGCAGAATTCTCATTGTTATTGGGTACACGGTTGTGTAATGATTAGGCAGCAATATATGGATCAAGCAATCTCTAAGGGGCTCTTTTTAAACCTAACTGTGAAATGAAATGGAGGTCAAAAATCAATTCCAAATGAACCATGAAAAAGAATCTGATTGCAGCGACCTTTATATAAGAGTATATACTAACTGAAGTGGTTTGCCTGGAATACCCTTTCTTGTCTGGATCCAACTTGCTGCCTTCCTGCTTTACAAATGTAGAAATATATGTTTTCTGATGTGTTCTTATCATGTCTGAAGATCTGGTCTCAATTGTGACCCAAGCTTGGACATTATTCAGTGTCTGGGCATATTTTACATGTTGGTTAAAGAAGAATGAATGGCCTGAATATGCACTCATCCTCTACATGTGTGGTTCCTCATTGATAGGTTGAAGACTATAAGAAAACAGTGTATAGTCCATGATTGCAGTACATATAGTATATTATGTAAAAAAGATAGACTGAGAAGAGGGACCCTCAATTTTGAAAAATCCTTTAAAATCAATGCGGATAGGATTTTATGTGGTCTGTTCTGACTGTTAGACGGTAATTGTGATGGAGGGTCACCTGTCTGATGTTTCATGGTAAAAAATAGCAATTATATACAGCGACTGAGAGCTGTAGTGGTGTGTGCGCATGTGAATTTTCATTCTGCTCAGAGAGCTGCACATACTCCAGCATCGCTTATCTTGACTGACATGTCTGAATGGAATTATTAATTCAGTACAATATAGGAAACCTTCAAGATACTGCCATTTGGAGGGTATTTCATGCCAACGTTATTAAGTAAATAATCAAAGTATAGATTAATGTGCACATAAATGAATCATCCTACCACACTGATTGCAATGCAATTTATAGATAATTAGTAATCGATAAATTGTCAAAAGAGGGATTTGTTTTTAAAAAGGGACTAGGAAAAGTACATTATGATACTTTATAGACTTAAAGGATTTCAGTATTTTACAACATGCAGCATTTTTTAAATTGCTTTATATGCAGAATTTCAAGATTAACACTATAATCTTCCTAGACTTTATGATATGATATCATATTATATTGCAAAATATCCAAAATAGATTTCCACTGCAAAACTTGATCAGTAAAATTAGTGTAAAAATCATGTTGTGTAATCATTAAAAATCAACTGCAATCTCACTTTACTGCCTTGAGGGAATGTTAAAAATATGTTGTTAGATGTATAGCTTTTAACATTAGATATAAAACACATCTGATTCTTTTTTTTCAGTTTGTAGACATAAACACTATGAGTGGCAGAGACCTTCGTATGTTTATCACTAATCATAGAGTAGAAGATATCGGTAAGTATTTAGTTTTTACTGCATACACATGGACCAATGATATCGGTAGCAGATGACCAAACATAAAAAATGTTTTTTTCATTGGAGTACAATACAAGTTTCAGTGTGAAAAAAATCAAAGTCTCAGGGGGAAATAAAATACTTGGTTATAGGAAAGAGCAGTGAAGGTTTAGTATTGAGCTGCATTGACTTACTCACAGAACAGCAAAGTCAGATTTCAAGGATTGGTTCAGTGTTTAGATCGACTAGTTCTTTTGTATCATCTTGTCAGCTTGCCTGTAGAGTCTTGCACTGATGAAAGTGCAGAAAAAATGTTAACTATTTTTAAGAACAATCATGACATATTTATTTAATCTCTGTCCAATTAATGTGAACCATCTCTGCAGTGCTCAGTCAACTGTGCCCTGCTAGTTGGCAAATCTCAGTCACAGTCAGCTAGTGACTTTACACAGCTTGCACTTGGATGAGCTGTTTGAGCTGCAAACTCTACATTAATATAAGCATGTTGTTCCAATATGCAGTTCTCGTTGACTTTTGATTTGCAGTAGTGTGTCTGAACACAATCTGAAAGGTGTACGTATAGCACATATATAGATATATATTACAGTATTCTACCAGTCTTGGATAAGCATTGGTAGTGTGAGTTGGACTGGTGTTCTAAAGATGCCAGTCCAACTCTGTTGTCCATCTGTATAGCCAGTATACAGTATAAAAGGTGGACAACAGCAGCTGAAAATACATAGGGACAAAACCATTCCAAAGCAAAGATGGACATTACATGAGCACAGCATTATACATAGGGCCAAATGTATCTAATATTCTAGCTTAGAGTTAACATTTAATTTGATATTTTATATAGTAATCTTAACATTTTATAAAGGTTCTTCTAATGGTTAAGACATGACTGCAACATATGTATTATTAACAACAACATTGTGGTTTTGATCAACAGATCATGAATACCCTAAAATTCAGTTTTTCATTTTAGTCTTTTAAAATCTCAGAATTGAATTACAACATTTCTGCAGCCTAACAATCCCAAGCAAGAGTTGGAATGTCTGATGGAAAAACAAATCCATTAGAATAGGAGAAAGAGGGGTATCAATAAAAAATGTAGATATAAAAAATAACTAAAAAGGGGATCAAGATGATGCACAATACACTCAAATATTTTCTCCCACAGTATTAATCTTATCAGTAGAAATATCGTAATAAAAGATGTGCGTTGCTCGTCCCAACCTACATGCATGATAATAATTCACAATTTTGCAGTTATAGACTTCAATCCATATTAGGTATGTGTCCTAAGGGAAGTTAATGTGGTGCAGTAGCTGTGTGTTTTTCTGCTTCATTGCCTTTCTTTCAGTTGTCACTCCTAAGAAGAATGTTTAAGATTAAAGATATTAATGACATCCTAGGAGTGCATAAAACCTGTTTCTTTCAGTATTTTATCATTGTTTATTTGAAATATTGGCATCTTAAAACTTAAAATATCTACAACAGTGAGCAAAGACCTTAATAGTACGATATATATATAAGAGAGTTAACCTTTTCAATTCACATTTTGGATGCATCGTCCTGAACTAAAATTGTGGTCATACTAACAGGACAGTAATGAGGAATACATGACCTCTTGCCAGTAAAGTTATGTAAAGAATGCCATTGTCTTCTGAAGCCTTTTTTTGTTTTGTTTTGGTTTTTGGTATTATTGGGTCTTTTTATCTTTGATCTCTCATTTTATCTTTTATCTGTTTTGTCTTTGAATAACATGTTTCCTTTCTTTTTCAGAAAGGCTGACACTCCGAATGAAGGATGGGCTGGGAAGTAAAAAATATAAACCAGTTGACTACCAGCAACTGCAGGCCATCACAGAAGCCAAAAGGTTTGCATCAGCAAACATAGAACTAAAGGTAAAAGCATGTGTGAGTTCAAAATAGTTTGACTGTGTGTGTGCTTCTGAATTGTAATCATAATTATAATAAATAATACAACTTCAATTATGAGTGCTTTCCAAGATAATCAAAAAAGCTGTACAATAGTGAATGGCATACACATAACAGAAGGGAAGAGATAAAATCACAGCCAACTAACTTGGTAAAACTAAATTATGCATTAAACGTTTTAGTATTAAAAATATTTTTTAAGCAAGATTTGGAAATGTGGATGTCGGCAGGGTTTCTAATGGATTTGGGGAGTGAGTTCCACCCATGTTGTGCTACACAGGAGAAAGCCCTGTCGCCTGTTCTGTGGAGGCTGATCTTTGGCAGAGTAAGACCACCTGAATCAGCATTTCTCAGATTAAGGGTTGGTCTGAACTCATACAGTAAATCTATAGAATAAGCTACAGCTAGACTAATCAGGACCATATACTTGAGCAGAGGAACCTTAAATTTTGTTCTTAATTTGTACACTTTCCAGATGATAGGAGTTATGTGCTGAAAAAATACCTTTATTTAGCTTTCAAACCCCAGAATTCTGGATATACAGCAGCCAATGTAGAATCTTACTGTAGTCTTGATTAAATAAAGGCATGTACAGTATACAGTAAATATTTCTGCATCGGTTGAAGGCCAACTTTGGAACACTAATGTTGGAAGCCTATGAACATCTCCTCTGTCTTGTCACAATTTAGGTTTAGGTTCTGTTGTCTCAAAAGACTTAATATCGGCAACTTAACTTCAGATAAACAGAATCTATAAAGTACAGAAACCACAAACGTGTCTGATTTGATCTGAAAGTAAATGTGGACTACCATGTTGTTTGTTTAAAGACAAAACATGATAATAAGGGTATACAAACTATTTTTTTCTATTTGGACAACCCACAGACATTTTGCACTGTAGAATTAGTGAAAGATTCACAGCTGGTCATGTTGTTGATTATCAGGCCTGCCTGATAGCCTGGACCCACAACAAAATTATGTTATGTCTGTGCTGAAATTAAAGCAAAATCACTGAGATTTTCTCGAATGCTTGCAGAGTGCTGTCATACATCTTTAGTAAACATGTTGACATGGCGATACCCATAATGACAGATGTCCTCACATGCAGAGATGCCTATGCACACCTAACTGTGCAGATTGCATATGAATATACAATGACACAGAGAGAAGGAGGTTGACCTAGACATTGTATTTTCAGTGGCTAAGTTCATTGTACCATTTTTAATTTATTGCTGACTGCAAACACAGAGTGTTCTGCAGCTTTTAGTCTCTCCTTTCTTTGAATACATAAATTTAACTCAAAACGTCCTTCTTACTACTTCAGAAGTAGTAGACATGCATCATATGAACAGACACGTTATTTAAGTGTCTCTTTCTTTATTTCATACTTTTACTTGAATACATCAGTTAACTGATAGTTTTGCTGATACATTTCTCCTTAAGTCTTTATTCTAAATTCTAAATTCGAATGAATTTGTAAATATTCATTAATGCATATCTTTTAAAGCAATGTGAATGCATCTGGTCATGTGAAAAATGCATTATGTAGATTTCCTTTGAGAGTACAAAAGAAAACCCTTATGTTTTCATACCTTCTTCAAATTAATCAAGACTGTAACTCAAAATATATGTGTAGAATTAATAAGCCAAGCCATATTCCCTCTTTGTTGTTCAAATCTATTAAGGTTGTAGAAGTCTGTGATAATGAATACTTTGCAAGTACTATAGCAGAAGAGCTCTTAACAAAGTAAAGCAATTAAAATCTAATCAAATAAACAATAAAGCCAGACTTTAAAGCTCTGATGAAACTGGGATTTGGAGTGTAATGAATACAGTAATGCATTTTAACCAGTGAGTGATACCATATTTGGGAATTTACAAAATCAAGTCAAATGCAAAGCCCAAAGACAAAGCCGACGAAGCTGGAGAAAGGACGTGTAATGATTAATTTGCCTTATCTTTTTTTGTATCTTCACATATACTTCATATTTATATATGTTCTTTTTAAAAATCCATTAGGAGGAGTTTATATAAAAGGGCTGATACTGTGACAAATTAAAAATGTATGATCAAATCTATAATTTATACAAAATATATGCGTGTTTATTTGTACAGCAACAATTTCTAAATAGGATTGTAAATTGAACATGTCGTAAAAAGGAACATAAAAACTACACATCATTAAATGTTCATGGATCTGTAGAGGGTTAACTATGAACAACTTTGAAGCAGTTTGAAGCCTTGGGTCTCTCATTCTATATCATATCACTTTGTGATGTTAACCCCGGGGCAGAGAGGATTATGGTTGTAGACCTGCAGTTTTACTAATTGGTAAAATGCAGCAGTAGCAGCATTTTATTGCCTCATTAGTGTTTCCAATGGCTTACTGCAACTCAGCACTCTGCTTGGGCAAGATAAGACAGGTTATGTATGGATATACCTCACTTGCCTGAATGCCATCCCTGCTTTCAGTCTTTTATGATAATGCAAAAATTAACATGGGAGTCTGTAGGGTTTGATAAACTGCACATTCTAATTAACTAACCAGGTTGCCGATTCCCTTGGATCTCTGATGGAACAGCCTTATGAACTTGATGGATCAACTTACTGCTAAAATCTTGATAATCTTAACAGTTTACGGGGGCTGCTCATGTATTTATCCTGTTTTGTGTGTTCCAAACTTAACAAAACAAATTCAGAAGTGTTTTTTTTACCATATACATTGAAGTTTAAAATATTGTTTGTTTTGATCAAATCTAATTACCTAATATATAATTTTCTGTATTCTGGTGAATTTTTTATGTATCTACACCAGTGATAGAGTACCAGATGCTCTTCTTCAATACTTGGCTCCACCAGGGAAGATTTTAAAATCAAATTAAGCACGCTGATATGAAATAAAACAAAAGGGTAAAAGTAAAGAAGATATCAAACAAATGCCCTGATCTCTTTATGGTTCACCAATAAATATGTTAAAGCTACATTACACTTGGTTTAAATTACAATTTCAATTTTAAAATATGATATCATTTTTAGTGTTCTGCAATGTGTGGGATCACATTTATTCCTAGATATTACCATCAATTTAACACAAGTCTCCTTGAGCTCAGAGAGCGGTTGTAAATTGTAGTTTGTAAAAGCTTAAAGATCACTTTTTAATGGCCCATCTAAAAGTGAAAGCACAAAGCAATAATTAAATGTTAGTGATTTATATAATATTTATTTATGTTGCAGGCACACGGAAACAATGCAGTATTACTTTTAGCATTATTGCAGTCATTTTGTTTTAAATTTAACCTGTATTTTTCAGATTCACAAAACATTACAAGCTGCAAGGATGACCAAGGAAAACACAGTTACAAGGCAACATCGACAGGTCTGGTGCAAAGAATATGCCAGGTTAATGAAGGCAGGGTAAGATTTAATATGATGTCTAAATATATACCAATAATCTAGAACTGTATTCCAAAGAAAACCACAGAGATTCATAAACAAGACTACGTAACCCAGATTATAGATGGATCGAGTATGAAACCAACAGCTATTTATTTTCCTGATTGTTTTCCCTGCCCACAGAGAGCACCCTGAGGACTGTGCTATGAATTCAGTGGCTACTGCAGTACCCTTCATGAATATTGTTTTTAAGACCAATTGCTGCTCACATTGAGGGAAAAAAGTTCAACTGGCCTTGTTCTTATTTTGTTTTCCAAAATATGAAGGGCATTGATAGCTGTGGGTTATTGTTACAGACTATACTTGTTCTCTGGATAACAATTTTACCTTTTTGCTTCAAGGTTAATGCTATACAGAGGCACCAAAGTCCCATACTAGATTTGTTTTCTCCACAGCAGACAGGATTGTAAAAAATATGTATGAATAAAATGTAAGATACTAGTTGAATTAATAAGCTTGGCAGAGTGGACACTCTTTATCTTATTTTATTATCCTTTTGGCTATTTTAATTTAAATAGACTGAGATGCAAAATTTTCTGTGATTTTATCTTTACATACAAGTTTAACAGTGGTAACAGGCTTCAAATAAAGGGTGGGTGTGCATTGTGTGCACTGGTGGGCAACCTGGTCCTGGAGTTCTGGGATATGTCTAGTTTTAGAGTCACCTTTCCATTAGCACCTAATGAAGAGCAAACAAACCTAACTGATTTGAGTCCTGTTTTGTGAGTTCAATTAAGCTATTAAGGTCTGAGATGGAATGAAAACCAGAATCAAACCTGGCATTCAAGAAGTAGGGTTACCTACCCTTACGATATTATATATTGTATACAGTAGCACCTTACAATGTGTTTTCTACAGAATCAACAGAGTATTCAAAATGCTCACTAAAATCGCATTAGTAAAGCTTTCATTTCAATAGGTTTGTGCTGAAAACTGTTTTCAAAGCAAACCACAACTAGAGCAAATATTTTGACTATAGTCATAGCAGATGGGACATCATGGAGAACTCAAATGGATGTATTATTTATTTTCTGCAAAGAGACATGTAAGTTGCAATTTAGCATTCAACGACTGCTAAATGACAGGAACTGTATTTGTGAATGTATGCACAAGTTTTATTCATCTCATTTTATGTGACTGTTCAGGTGCTCACTGTTGTATTGTATAGCTACGTGGCATTATAAATGCCTGCCATTCTTCTTCCTCTTTTATTCCATTTTTGTAGTTAGGAAACTCAAATTTTGCGCAGACCCAGTGATTACCTTTCAATGTGCACTTCCCCAGAGCCCTGGTTATAGTGAGTAACAATTACAAACCATAATGCGTAGCTTCCATTAGGCGTTCCCCTGATGATATGATTAAATTATCCTTATTTCAAGCCATCTAACAATGGAGCCATCTAAGCGTATGCCGATAAAAGCTCATAAACTGTCTTGAAAGATTATGTAAAAATTAATTTTCACTGTCCACTGGAGATAACAAGATGTCCACCAACGGTGATAAGAATGTCAGAGTAGTAGAGCAATCTCTTTAAAATATCCCATTAGAAAGAACTGTGCTCTAATTGTTTGCATTCAGTTTGTTAAATAGGCTTTGTATCCCTGTGTTCCTATGGTCATTTCAGTCTCTTTATACCTGTTTTACTTATTAAATCATGACTTTCACTGTCTTTAAATGGACAGAGTCTAAATGTTTCTGTATAGCTTAAGATTCTAAGCCAACAATATCTTTTGAGTTGCGTTATTATGTCTGGGTAGTAACTGACTATGAAACCGCTGAATGACACAATTATAACACCAATTATACTAATTATACTATGGCACTGATTAATACTATTATCATATGAGTCACACATTGTGTAATTATACCAGGTAAGCAACTGCGATGTGTTACACCAAATTTAGTGTTGTGCCTCATTACTGATGGATGCCACATATCCAAAGTAAGGTGTTTGTTGCAGTGTCAGTTTGTATTGTGATCACTCTGTTCACCAAGGTTTTGTTTTCTACAAAGCAGTACATTGTCAGTAATAATGAGAAAGTAATTTAAATAGGTGTATAATAACAAGGAAAATCAGAGCGTGATGAAAGCAGGAATTTCTTTGAGTGTAGCAAATGCAAACCTTCCACTTAACGAATATGCATTCTATTCATCGTTGCTTTTTTTGGTATTTAAGGCAAAGGCTCGATTTGGAGATTCAAAAGTTCCTGGACGAAGAAGGAATAAATAATGACTTCTTATTCCAAATGAAGGACAACGGTACTGTATCCTCCATTATCAGTTTACTTCTACATAGTATTATTTATTTCTTCTCTGTTACAATACTAAAACACTGTGACACCGTGTCTTTGCTGACAGAGCTACAGTTGGAGAAGGAGAGATCATTATTCAGGGCTGATACAGTGGATCCCATCTGGCAACTAAAGGATGATTTACGCTCCAGACTGTCTGAAATGTGCTCTTATACCTCACAGCACCCCCTAAAGACACAGTCGATTCAATGTGACCTAATACTTGAGCAGGTACTAACATGCTTTTCTGTTCTTCCTTTTGATGTACAATAACATTTCCAAGTCTATCTACAGAAAGTGAATATCATGGTAATTTCTTATGGCACATATTTTATGTTATTTGTTGTATTGGATGATTTGTTTGAGGTAACAAAGCCATTTTAATTGAATACACATTTAAAACACACAACAGGGTTTAAATAAGATGAAATACATAATCCTCATAATAAACACCCTCAAACTATCCTCATTGGTGAGCATTTACCAGACTAAGATTGCAGCCCATAATTTCAGAAGAAATATTTCAGATTAACAGTGATCTCTCCTTTAAATTATGTAATTGTTCATCAACTCTTGTATTTATTGGTCTATTTAGGTCAGGGGGGTCTCTAAACATACCAAGATTGTGAAGCTTCTTCAGTAGAATTTATTTTTTTAAACCATTTTGTCTGGTTCAAATTAAATGTAATCAACACATTTGTTTCTTGTAATTCACATTTTACCTTTATTTTAAAGCATTGTAGAATAAAACAATCAAGCAAAATACACAGATATACACAAAGTAATTAAACGGAACTAAATTCTAAATTTGTTGTAATAGTATAAAGTAGCTACATCATTGAATTATAAATATAAGGGGCTGCTATTTGTTAACTAGAACATTCAGATACATATTTTTATTGGAGAAAAAAGTAATGTTCCTCAGTGGTAATTTGCATATAAAAAATGCAACCTCTTATTAAATCAGCAAAAATTAATTAGTAAAACAAATTCTCACTTACAGTACGTTTCTATATCTGCATTCTGCATGCCTTTGTCATTCTGTATTTAAGCACTGTATTATGAGTTTCAGATATTCTTTCAATATCAAAAACCTGTAGCATGAGCTTCTGTACCAAAACCAAAAAAACAAATACCCAACAACTTTACTGAATAGTATAGAATACTGAACTGAAAATAGTGTAGACACTGAAAAACACAATAAAAATTAGCTCTTTTTCAGATATACAGGCTACCTATCTTGACTTGGATGAAAAAGCCAGAGCATTACAGTATATATTTCTTTCCTTTTTTTAGTGTTGTAGCACTGTTGCTGCACTCAAAGTTTAGGTTTCTCTTGATTGCTATATATCTTACTGTAGTGGGTTTGTTATATTTAAAATCCAGTACCGATGGAGTAAGTTACACGGTTTCAGTGAAGTGAGGCAAAATGTCTTTGAAAGTGGGCCAGCACTTTAGATGAATAGAAATGTTCTTTGAGTCACTTACTTCTTACTTTTGAGCAAATGTATGAGTCATCTATTGGCAGATTTCCGTCATTCCTAACACTTTCATGAATGCTTTACTTTAGTGAGTGAAACAAATCCATTTAGTTCCTTTCAACCTGAGAGCTATTGCAAATTATATTTATTCTTCTGTCTTTTTGTACTTAATTGTATGATAGCGACCTGACTATAAAGCCAGACAAAGATGAAGTATGTGGTCTATATAAATAATAATTAATAGCATAATAGCTGTATACATTTATATGTGTATTAAATCAATATACATGGAAAAAGTAATAGATTCCTTTGAAATGCAGCAAATTAATGCCAGAAAATGCCAGCCTCGACTGCAGTTACAGAAACAAATGGAAATTCACACATTTCAACTTGTCAAAGAAGTATAGTTGAGTACCACATTAAAGGATATTATGTCATACTTATACCTAATTTTCATCTTTAAGGCAGTTATGCTGTATATATATGTACAGTATTTAGTGGTGGCCCACTATTAATTATTGCAAACTATTGTGTGTGTAAAACATAGTCACTTTAATGCAAAACAAAGAACTGGAATAAAGTGTTGTATCATATTGGAAATGGAACTATATGTGTAATGTATCTAGTTGAATAATTCTCATTTTAATCATATAATGCTTTCACAATTAGAAAGCCTAATGAACAACAGTGGTATATGAAAATACATGAGGAAATTTATTAGTGACAAAATAACTGTGTAGCTTATGTGATATTGCATCATTGTAGGATAATGATGCAATATCACACAATTTAAAAGCATTAATATGCATTCTTCTGTAAAGATAAAAATTATTTTGATATTTCTCAATTTGATGTTTCTAAATAAAACCATAAAACAATAAAAGGCACTAATTTCTGCAATTACATCCTGACCTCCTTTATATTTTATCGATTTGTATATTATAATCGTATTTAGAAGTTATGTGACTACAACAGATCAGACGTTTAACTATTAAGTCCTGCATCAGAAAACTTGATCAAGAAGGTCCTGCTATTGCAAACCGTATCGAATATTTTGTGGAATGTAAAGTGGAAAATAATTTGCTAAAAAAAATCAATTTAAATAACTTCATAGGGTGGCATTTAATTTTTCTCAGGATCATTTTCTTCTCTCTAAATTTTATGGCATTCAGTTTTATTTTAACTGTTACTTGCTTATCTAGTCTCACAAAAATGTCAACAACTGTTCTGATAATATGACAGTTATTTCAATAATAGTTCAAACCGCATGATGAGAAGATTGTTTGATTTTATCATTCCATAAAAAGTCAATATCTATTTTTGATCCCTTAATTATTTCTTCTCCCTTAAGTAGAACTAAAATGTCACATTTGTCCTTTCATTTCTGTTTCATCTTCCTGAAAAGCTAATATCAGGACATATATGTGCCATTTATTGTCATCAGAAAGATAATACCTTTTCCTCCAGTAGATATATCTAGAAATTAGCAATATATAAGTCTGCATGTCCTGCTCCTTATTTATAAATAATGCAGTGTATTATTTCATTCCAGATGTTCATTTTAGTAATTCCAATAAAATAAAGCCAAAGTATTTCACTGTGTGTAAAGGATTACTTCTCAGGGGCAATGTTCAGAATCATATTTAAGCCTAAAAGGGAAAACTGACTTTCTAGTGTGTTCATTCAAAGATAAGGTCTTCTGTAACTAATAAAATGTTGGCTTTTTAACAGATTTAAAAGCAACACCAGAGCAGACTTTACATCTTAAAATCTGTTCTTGGGTTGCTGGCCTTGATCAATTAAAGAAGGGAATAAAACCCTCATTGCTTTTGCTGTTTTGGCAGTTTGGTTCCTTCTGTGATGTAAAGCGGTCATGGTCTTTAATCCTCTTGGGACCTGACCTTGCAAAGCCTTTATATAATCAGAAACTGAGATCACTAGAACACCGAAGTTGCATTTACCCGCACGAAAAAGGGAATCAATTTATTATAATATACATTTACTGTAAATATCTCTGTATGATGTCAGGCTTGCCCAATACATTGCAGCATATGGATAGGTCACATTAATGTTGACAGACTGTTGGATACTATAAGTACACTCCAGTCAGCCTTTGTTCAGTTTTCTAAGGTTAAACATTCACACTTGTTCAGCACATTTAGGTAACACTTCAGTATGTAGCTTGGAATAAACTTGCTTCACAAACTAAATCATATTTCATACTGAAGCTCAGCACACTGAGACTGAAACTGTGATTCCCAAGCGTTTGATTATTTTTGTATAATAATGCCTCATATTTGGATATATTGATTTCATATATAAAGTGTCCAAAATAGTCTGTAGACAGAGCTTAAGAATTTCACCACAAAAAGGTCTAAAGAAGGTATTCAATAGAAATTACCTTGTACTGTGCTAATTCCAATAGTTTAGTCAAATATTTACCCCAGTGCTATTTCAGCAATAACCCAATGCGAAGTGGGTGCATTTTATGAGTGAGAACTAGGTAGATATTAGTAGTTCAGGTACTGTACTGTAGGTAGCTGCGTCAGCATGCATAGTCTGCAAAGGAACTAGTAATAGGTTTATTCCATGCTGAAAAGAGAAGAGAGAAAATGCAACGTTTCAAGTGTGAAGCCTTCTTCAGGTGTGTTTGTCTCTCACCAACACAGTCCTATTTTTATGTGCCTTTTGTGTTTCTTAGGATTCATAATGCAATGTTTTAGTCCCCACAGGAGGGTAAACTCAGTGTTTGCTGATAGTGCTTAGTGCATTAGCGCAGAGTCAGTCTATGAGCAGCAGCCTTGCTGAATGACAGGACCCGAAATCCACAAAACCCCTCACAATTCCTGCTCAAGAACAAGATGCCAGTCAGGTCTTCAAGCCAGAGTCAGTGAATATCCTAGCTGGAATATCCTAGCTTGACACATCCTCCAGCTTATTTGACTCATGCCGTCAAACCTGGGCAAAGGTTTTTAGCGTGGTTGTGTTTTGAAATACAGAATTAGGCTTTTAACATGGAAAAAGAAAGCCTCCAGTGGAGTAAAATTGTGTGAAAGTCATCTTGTATTTCTAAACACAAGCATGGTATGAACATATATACAGTATAGTGTGTTTCTCTGTTCTTCCAAAGTTAAAAAAGATAGCTACTGTTCTGCTTCTGAAATTGCTCTTTATGTTACTTTTCCCCAGGTAAAATGTTTGTAATTTTTTTGTAGTAGCATGTTTATCATAATTCCTGTTTGTCTGGTGTAAATACATGACAGAGATTTGTCCTGCAGGTGCAGGTTGTGCAAGAATGTAGACAGGTGGGAATGCTCCTATATTCTGATCATGCAATATTTTTCTGTAGGTGGAATATGTAAAAAAGCAGCAGAAAGACATTATAGAAAAACTTGATTTAGAGTGCCTGTCTGTGGAAGAAGAGATCAGTGCGACCAGAACACAGGTAATAATTACAGGACTCAAGGTTACCTAGAAAGATGTTGAGATGATTTCTGTCATCGCTATTAAATTAATTCACTTCTGTTTACTCGTTCACTTCTTTAGGCATGGCTTTCTTCAACAGAAGAGATTCGAAGTAGTTTGCAGCAGATTCCAGAGGAAGTGTTAAACTTAGAATGCCCATACCCTGATCTTAAAGAGTCTTTGCTGAAAGAATTCCAGAGCCTTGATGAAAAATACAGTTCCAGGTTACAAAACATCACTGAACGGCTGAATGGATTGGACAGGTTTGACTTCCATTTTGACGATATTTTGACTTTTAGTGGGACGATATTAGTTCAGCTGTATTGTTGGATTCACTGATAGCTCATGGTTTCAGTTTTGTAAGCTTTGCGTAATCATGTTTACAGTTTTAAATGTGATGATTTTTTTAAATCTAGAATTGTCAATTATTTTTTGTTATTTTATAGCAATCTGGAATCACTGATAGCGTTTTTCACACTTAATCCTCCAACTCCCCAGCTTCAGGGGGGTTTGGTGGCAAGGTGCATTACAGGCCTGTGAGGGGCCAGGAAGCCACTGTCCTTGCTGTGTCCCGGGAGAATCCTAGCCTGCCCTACTTCAGGTGCCAACTGTGTGTAACCACTAGCCCAATCACAGTGGACTAGGGGCATGGGCTAGGGCCGAACCTAAAACACCCAGATTATAGAGTTCAACCTGCACTCTGAACACACCTTCCACTTGAAGCTTTAAACCACCTGTGAGGCCCAAATGAGATTTTGATCTTAACTGTTCATGGTGACCTAAGCACCCCAGTTTCTTGAAGACATATTTAGAAATGATTTTTTCTTTCTTTTTCTGGAAGGATTTCTGCTTTGAGGAATCAGTAGGATCATGTGGATTTTCTGATATAGCTTTAATGTTAATTTTGGAGATATGACTTAGATATAAATCTGTCTTCAAACTATTATAATAATAATAATAATAATAATAATAATA